GATCTGGGCATCTTACCTTCCAGTATAAGGTCACGTTGTAACCTCCTGGCACCGGGTCCACAGTTCTCCACATGTCAGGAGCGGAGGGAGCTGAAATGGAGCAGGGGAAAGTCCTTGGGTCAGAATATGTATGCACAACAACACAGTCAACCTTGGTCTAGTTCATGCCAGGAAAGAACACTCCAGGAAATAACCACAGGCGTTACTTTAGCTAATTGTGTACCACTTCACAGTGCCGCGCGGATAAGGCATTTGTTTGTTTTGCTTTTACAGATCGAAGGATTGTGGCAAGCCCGAGTTGAACAAGTCTGTTGGCATCATTTTGTTTGTTGTTTGCTTGCTTGTTTTCCCTTTCGTCTCTGTGTGCCATTTTGGTCATTCTCACATTCCCAGCTTCGTCCTAGTACTGTCTCCTTGTTCGAAGACTACAAGGCAGTATAAACCTAACTTTTCGAATCCCTTAGGAGTAAAGGTGGTGAGACTTCAGCTTGCTACTTTGGGCAAGGCACCAGGAAAGACCAATTGCTAGCAAAGGACATCCTGTTGGGTAAGGTACAGACCCAGCGAAGACCATGAGACGCCCTCAATGAGATGGACCACCAGTGAGCCGTGGCAAGGGAGTCACATACAGCCATTGTGACCATGGAGTGAGAGCAGATGACGCTTCCTTCTGTGATACAAAGTTACTATGAGTTGGCACTGACTAGTACTGAGTCTAGTACCCAATTACTAGGCAGGGTGGAACCATGCCACAGACAGTAAAAGGGTGAGAAGCAAGTCTTAGCTAGGATGCCCTTGTTGGTTGCTGCCTGACCCCTGGCAACCCATGCCTAATGGGATGAAATGGTACGTGGTTCTGCACCATCTCCTGGATCAGCTATGGATTGGGCCACTGTGATCCACAGGGTTTGCAGATAGAATAGGTATAGGCAGACCTCCAAGACATTGCATCGGTCAGTCCCCAGACCACTGCAATCAATCAAGTGGTTCAATAAGCAAGCTACATGCAATTGGGGGATTTTCAGAGATTAGTCCTTCTTAATAATATGTCCAAAGTACTTGAGCCCAAATCTCACTCTCCTCACTTCTAAGGAGTATTCCAGCTGTGTTTATTCCAAGACAAATTTCTTTGTTTTTCTGGCAGTCCATATACCATGTTCAATATGCTTCACCACCACCATAATTCAAAGGCATTACATCTTCTTCCATCTTTCTTACTCACTGTCAAGCTTTCATGAGAATACGAGACGATTTAAAACACCACACCTGGATTTTCTTTTGTTAGATGCTGTTGAGTTGGTATTGGCCCACAGGGACTCTATATACAATAGAATGAAACACTGCCCAGACCCGGACTACCCTCACAATTGGTATGTTTGAGCCCATTGTTGCCGCTCGGGGTAAGCAAACCTCAGTCCTTAGAGTGCCATCTTTACTTTTGAATGATTTAAAGAGATCATTTGCAGAGTTTCTCAGTGAAATACATCCTTTGGTTTCCTAAGGTTGCGTGGGGTGAATCCAAACTGATCTATCTTGGAAGAGGTACAGCCAGAGGGCTCCTTAGAGATCAGGATGGTGAGACTTCGTCTTACAGACTTTGGACATGTTGTCAGGAGAGACCAGTCCCTGGAGAAGGACATCATGTTTGGTAAAGTGGAAGGAGAATGAAAAAAAGAGGAAGACCCTCAAGGACATGGATTGACACGGTGGCTGCAATAATGGGCTCAGGCATAGGAACAATTGTGAGGGCGGGACAGAACTGGGCAGTGTTTCTGTTGTGCATAAGGTTGCTACAGGTTGGAACCAACTTCATGGCACCTAACAAAAACAACAACAATTCAGCAGTTCAATAATATTAAGAGGAGTTATGGAATCATCATCACCATCCATTTGGGAACATTTTCTTCTTCTTTGTAGTCATGGTTCTTAGCTCCCATTTCTCCGCAAGCTTCCCTACCATGCCCTGCTGTTGTTGCCGGTAGGTGCTTTGAGATAAGATCCATCTGACATCAGCAATGAGATCCCTTATTCCTTGTCCTCTTCCACCTCTGGCCCAAAGCTCTAGCAGCTGTCAGTGCACTGCGGCAGCCACTGTTGGATGAGCTTCTGCAAATGATTACTTGCATGTGATATTAATGATATTGTTCTATAAGTTGAACATTCTGTTGGGTCATCTTTCTTTGGAATGGGTACAAATATAGATCTCTTCCAGTCAGTTGTCCAAGTACCCGTCTTTCCAACTTCCTGGCATAGAGGAGTGAGTGCTTCCAGTGCTTCATCCACTCGTTGAACCATTTCAATGGGCATTCCATCAATTCCTGGAGTCCTGGTTTTGACGAATGCATTCAGTGCAGCTTGAACTTCTTCCTTCAGCACCATCAGTTCTGGCTCATAGGTTACCTCCTGAAATGGTGGAAGTTTGACTAATACATAGTGACTCAGTGTATTCTTTCCATCTTATTTTGATGCTTCCTACATCATTCGTACAATCTTCTGATATTGTGGCTTAAGGCTTGAATTCTTTTTTTTAGTTCATTCAGTTTAAGATAAGCTGAGCATGTTCTTTATTTTTGGTTTTCTAACTCTAAGCCTTTGCACATTTCAATATAATATTTTACTTTGTCTTATCAAGCCGCCTTTTGGAATTTTCTGTTCAGCTATCTGACTTCATTTCTTTCATTTTTCCTTAGCTACTCTATGATTAATAACAAGTTCAGAGTCTCTTCTGACATCGACTTTGGTCTTTTCTTTCTTTCCTGTCATTCTAATGTCTTTTTGCTTTCTTCCTAGATGATGTTCTTAATATCATCCCATGGCTCACCAGGTCTTCTGTCATTAGGGTTCAAGTCATCAAATCTGTACTTCAGAGGTTCTCAAAATTCAGGTGGGATAGACTCCAAGTCGTATTTTGGCTCTTGTGGACTTGTTTGAATTTTCTTCAGCTTTAACTTGAACTTGCATATGAGCAATTGATGGTCTGTTCCACTGTAACTCCCGGGGCTGTTTTTGCTGCTGATAATGAGTTTCTTCATCATCTCTGCCCACAGATAGAATCGATTTATTTCTGCGTATTCCATCTGAAAAAGTCCTTGTGTATAACTGCCTTTTATGTCATTGTAAAAAATTAATTGCTATGAGCAATCATTAGTTTTGTGAAATCCTATTATGTGGTCTCCAGTTACGTTTTTATCACCAAGGTCATATTTTCCAACTACTGTTCCTTCTTCTTTGTTTCCAACTTTTGCATCCGAATCACCTAAAATTATCAATGCATCTTGATTGTATATTTGATCAATTTCTGACTGAAGACATTGGTAGAATTCTTCAACTTCTCCATCAATAACTTTTGTGGTTGGTACACATAAATTTGAATACTAGTTGTATTGATGAGATTTCTTTTAATTCAGATAGCTATAATCCTACCAGAGACAGCATTATACTTCTAGATAGATCTTGAAATGTCCTTTTGGAAGAAGAGTGAAACACCATTTCTCTTGATTATGTCGTTAACAGCACAGTAACCCATATGATTTTCTGTTTCAAAATGGTCAATACCAGTCCATTTCAGCTTATGAAATGCCTAGATTGTCTAATTTTATGCATTCTGTTTCATTTTACAAGCCTAATTTCCCTAGATTCGTACTTCACCCATTCCAAGTGTGGATTAAGAGAAACTGATCTGTCTTGGGAGAATTATGATCTGAGTGCTCCTTAGTTGGCAAGACTTCATCTTACATACTTTGGACATATTGTCAGGACAGACCAGTCTCCCTGGAGAAGGACATCATGCTTGGTGGAAAGGAAGGTCCTCAAGGAGATGGATTGACAGAGTGACTGAAACAATGGCATCAAGCGTGGGAATAATTGTGAGGATGGGGCAAGACCAGGCAGTGGTTTATTCTGCTATGCATAGGGTCGCTATGAGTTGGAACTGGCTTGATGGCACTTAACAACAGGTGCCAACTATTAATGGATGTTTGGGGCTGGTTCTTTTACTTTTAGTCCTGCCACATCTGAAAATGTAAGTCCCAAAGGCTTCATTCCTACCGGCTTTACTCTATCCCCGCCATTAAGGCCAACTTTACTTGGAGAGGGCAGAGTTTCCTCAGCCACATGTTGAGTGCCTTCTGGGCTGAAGGGCTCATCTTTTCGGCACAATCTCTGACAGTGTTCTGCTTCTTTTCATGAGGTTTTCTGTATGTGACAATGGCTCAATTCTGTCTAAAAGGTTTTCATAGCTAATTCCTCAGAAGTGGATAGCCCATTGATTCTCAGTTGTATGTTCTTAGTCTAGAAGCTCTGCTGAAATGTGTTCACTTTGGGTCACCCTGCTGGCATTTAAAATGCCAGTGATATTACACAAGATCACAGTATCTTGGCAATACACAAGCCACCACAGTGTGACAAAGTGATGGGCAACTGACTAAACACCATCCCCCTAGGGAATTATTAATCTAGTTACTATGTCTATAGATTGACCTACCCTGCATTTCATACACAGAAAAGTATACAAAAAAATAAGGAATAAACAAAAGACAACAACAATGACTAAATAAAACAGAGAACGTCTCCATTGAAAAGAAAGCAGGGAAGATTTAAACTGGAGTGTTTCCATATAGTTGAACGCAAAGGCGTAATCCCTCTGAGTACAATTCGGTAAGAGAATGTTGTTGTGTTTCCTTGAGTCAACTCTAACCAACAGCCAGCCTACAGGACAGAGTAGACCTGCCCCAAAGGGATTCCTAGGCTGTCATCTTGACAGAAGGAATTCTTTCATCCACGGAGGAGCTACTGGGTTCGAACCATTGACCTTTGGTGAACAGTGATCTAATCATTGTGCCATCAAGACTCCTAAATATGATTAGAATGCACATAAATACTGAGCTTCCCGGTGTAGTTAGTTCTTGTCAGGTGCCATGGAGCTGGTTCAGACCCATAATGATCGAACAAAACACCGCCCGGTCCGGCAGCATCCTCACATTACCCTAACATTTGAGCCTTTGGTGAAGCCACTGTATCAATCCATCTCATTGAAGGCCTTCTTCTTTTCGCTGTACCTCTACTTTGCCAACATGATGTGCCTCTCTAGGGCCTGCTCCCTCCTGACAACATGGCCAAAGCATGTAAGCAAAGTCTCGCTATCCTCACCCCTGAGCATTAAGTGAACTATTATCAGAATTCTTATAATATACACACTATAAAAATATATCACTGCCAAAGGTTGGTTTCAACTCATAGTGATTCTTAACGCGTGTCACTCTGTACAGGAGTAGAAAGTCTTCTCTCTCCCTCAGAGTGCCCGATGGTTTTGAATGGTTGACCTTGCTGTTGGTAACCCTTTGACATTGCTTCTGAGGATGACAAAAGGATGGGGGAAAAAAAGATGAATATACTGATAGTGAATGTATATTTCATAGAATATATTTTTGTAATATATGTAAATAACATATCACACAAAATTGTGATATATATATTATATCTAAACATGTAATACATACTATATTAATATACAATATATTTATACACCAAAACCAAATTCACTGCCATCAGGTGGATGCTAACTCATAGCAACCCTATAGGACAGGGTAGAACTTCTCCTATGTGTTTCCAAGACTTTAACTCTTCACAGGAGTAGGAATCATCATAAGAAATATTGAAGAATCTCAGGCTTATTACACCCCAATGTAAAAGAAACGTGTTAGTCTGGGTAGACTAGAGAAACAAATTCACAGACACTCATATGTGTATGAGAAAGAACTTTATATATAAGAGCAATTGAATATTGAGGAAACATCCAGATCAAGTCCATAAGTCTGATATTAGCCCATATATCTGATACCACACTAGAAAGTCCTCTTCAGACTCACAAAACACGTGCAGAAAGATCACAGGCCAGTGAATGTGAAGTCTTGTGGATCCAGTGGTGGTGGAAGCATTTCAGCACTGGCAGGGGTCTCTACATGGCTCGTTCGTCCTGGTGTCCAGATTTTCTCTTAGAAAGGAAGGTCCCCTGTCTCTGAACACTCTGCCCTTTGTTTGGGGTTTGTCCGAAAGCTTTCTGGGAAGCCAATCCTTCTTGTGAAGTCTACTTAGACCAGCGGTTCTCAGCCTGTGGGTCGAGACCCTTTTGGGGGTTGAACAACCCCTTCACAGGGGTTGAACAACCCCTTCACAGGGGTTGCCTAATTCTTAACAGTAGCAAAATGACAGTTAAGAAGTAGCAACGAAATAATTTTATGGTTGGGGGGGGTGGTCACCACAACATGAGGAACTGTATGAAAGGGTCGCAGCATTAGGAAGGTTGAGAACCACTGACTTAGACCCTTGGGCAACCTGTCCAGGAGCGGCACATACCAACATCGAGGGTGGTGAATCTCTGACCAACCCAGTCACTCCATTTCCACAAGTGGTTGCCATAAGCACAGCACACTCGGGCCAAATACTGTGTGTCGGGTTCCAGTCCACTTAGAAGATATTCACCCTGCATCCCAATGGAGACATTGACCTGCTGCTTGAGCAAACAGAAGAGGAGACAAAAAGAGGTAAGCAAACCAACAAAGCAACTGCTGAGCATCACGAAACAGTCATCTCCATTCACCTGGCACACCAGGAGGCGAGGCAGGGCTAGGAGGAGGAAATGAACACCTGCCCCCCAGGGCCATGAGACCAGACGAACGGATTGGGGCCAATTACTGAAAGTGTTGGGTGGAGATGCTACAGAAAAATCCTAATGTAAATAGGGGTAGAGAGGGGGAGTTCCACCTTTCAAGTTCTCATAGAATTCCGTCTTTCTGGAGCCATTGAGGCTGGATGAATCTCTCCTGCCAAACCATTACCTTTTGTTAACTTTTAAAGCTTATCCAAAAAATGCCCTGAAGATTTCTTCTGGGAGCACTGGGGGCATTAGGCCGTTAACTGGAAGGTTGGGGAAGAAAGCCGAGACTGCCCCTGTAAAGATGCGCCGTTTCAGACACCCCAAGGAACGGTTCCACTCTGTTGCTGGGGGTCGCTAGGGATTGGAACGGCGGCACGTTTGGTAGGTTGGGAAGACAATGTTGCTGTTTGGTGCCCCCAGTCTATTCCAAGTCACAGCGCACAGAATGGAACACTGTCTGCTCCTCTGCTCCTCTGACGTCTCGCGGTGGCTCCGTTCAAGCCATCGTGGCAGCCACTGTGTCAGTGCAGCTCGTTGGGGGCCTCCCTCTTTCTCACTCATCTTTACTTTACCAAGCACGTTGCCCTTTTTTTAGGGACTGGTCTCTCCTGATAGCACATCCAAAGGATGTGAGGTGAAGTCGTAGCCTTCTTGATCCTAAAGATCACTCTGGCTGTACTTCTTTTGACAGTCTATAGGACTTTCAACGTTCCTCGCTAGCGCCATAATTCAAATGCACCGCTTTTTCATTGGTCTTCCTTATTCAATGTCCAACTCTCGCTTGCACATGAGGCAACTGAACAGACCATGGCTTGGGTCAAGTGCACCTCAGGCCTGGAAGGCAATAACCAAGCCCACACCAAACTCGCTGCCATGGAGTAGAAGCCTGCCCATAGCGGCTCTCTGGGACGGAACTGCCCCTGTGAGTTTCCGAAACTGTCATTGTTCCCAGGAGTACAGGGGCTGGTCTTTTGCCCATGGAGTGGCTGTTGCTTTTGAATTGTAGACCTTATGAGATCACAGCCCAAACTTAACCACTATAGCACTCCTATAAAAGCAGCAGCTTAGTTTACTTCTAAAGAAATGCCTGCCTGAAGCATTGTGCTCTCTTAAAGAGCTCTCCTGTTGGTGGTGGTTGGTGTGCCCTCGGGTGACTCTGACCCACACTGACTCTCCGACTGTAGCCCAGATTGTGATCTCCTCAGCAGTGGAGGCCAGCTCTTGTCTCCCGCTGAGTGACAGCTGGGTTTGAACCAATGCCCTTTCATTTAGCAGCTGAGGACTTATCGGTTGTCCCTCCAAACTGTCCCTCACCACCCTCAGGTCAATTCAGACTCACAGCCAACCTCCACGACAAAGTAGGAATGCCCACGGTGGTTTCCAAGACTGTAAATCTTTGCGGCCTCTTTGGTCTGTGGAGCAAGCAGCTGGTGAGTTCAAACTGCCGACCTTGTAGTTAGCAGCGCAACGCTGAACCCATTAGGCTACCGGGGCATTGTCTCACCAGGGGTTGAAATCAAACTGACAACAGCGACTTGAAAACATAAATAAGAAGCTTATGTAAGCAGTGAGTTTAATACTGGGGGAGGAATAGCCCAGAAATCAGAGGTGATACGGTTGCAGGACTCAAAGGACTTAGTCGTCACTGAATTGTTCGTCTAGAAATCGCTGACGGATGTTCTATCATGTGTATTTTCAATGAAAACAGCATATATATACACAAACAAAAAGAATCAACGCGTATACGTTACTGTTAAAGTCAACCAGGACAACAGCAAAATTCAATTTGATGCAAGACTGGGCTTTCTTTTTTGGGAAAAAAAAAATCTTTGAGATCCTTCTCCTGCCTCTGAAAGTCTGTAATTAATTTCTTGGCCCTTTGGAAACAGGTGACCCACAACCAAATAGACTCACTCAGAAATACAAGTGTAAACAGTGTTTTTTTCTTTTACTTTTTTCTCCCAGCAGTCATTCTGTTGTAGACGAGTTAGGAAATTATAAGCAAACAGGGGAATGAAATGCTGGGCCAAGTAGGAAATGGAGTTCTTACTTCCATCACGTGCTCATCCTGAAGACACTCAACCCGACACAGGAGAGTGGAGGGCTTCCTTAAAGGGTAGACCTTCCAGGACACACGGGCATTCGTGGAATTCACACTTTCAAGGAAGAAATTAAAGGGAGGCCTTGGATGAACTGCCAGCAAAAATAAAGAGGAAAAGTCAAGCACGTCTCCACAAAGGCTTTGGCCAAGAGGCAGCTCATTTACTCGTGTACTTCTGCCACAACAAGCATCTTTTCGTATATACTTGAGAAACGAGGCTTAAAACCAGCTTTATAGCCAAGACAGAGTAAGCCAAGCACCGCCTCTTGCCCTTACTGATGGTCTCAGAAATTCTGAACAAAACTCAAAAAAGCAACTATGGGAGGGGCTTTTAACGTTAAACAAAATCATGCTGATTGTGGATCAAAAAACTGACTGCCATCAAGTCAATTCCAACTCACAGGGACCCGACAGGACAGGGCAGACCTGTTCCTGTGGGCTCTCGAAGCTGTCCCACTTTATGGGAGTAGAAAGCCTCATCTTTCTCCTTTGGAGCGGCTGGTGGTTTTGAACTGCCTACTGTGTCATCCCCACACCACCAGAGCTCCTGCTGAGGGTAGAGGGGAGTGAAAGCCAAAGAAGCCACCACTCACAGAAGGAGGGCTGTAGCAGAGGCCTTCGAAAAATCAGTAACAAGAGAGCGATGACAGAGGAGCCATTGACCTTGGAGGGCGATGAATGCAAATGACTTAATTTAAATCAAAAGGAAAAGACCTTTAGAACTAGAATTAAAAAAGAACATAGCCTCAGGGAAAGGTGCTCCAAGTTCACTGCCATCAAGCGTACAGAACAGGGAAGAATAGCCCCTGTGAGCTTCTGAGCCTGTAACTCCAACTGGAGGGGAAGCCTCATCTTTCTCCCGAGGAGCTGCTGGTAGGTTCCAACTGCCGGACTTGCAGTTCACAGCGCATCATGTAACCATGCCGCCACCAGGGCTCCTGGGGCGGGGGGTGGGGTGGGGGGCAAGTGAGACCAGCCCTGACGTTTGTGTCACTGAAGTGCGAGAAAACGAAAGAAAATGCGCAGTGATGGAAACGGGATTACCAGAAACGTCCCAGGTTTGGCGAAAGAAAGCCATGCAGCTACAGTTTCAAGAAGCTCCCCAAACCCCAGAGAGGATAAAAGCAAAGAAATTGATTCCGACCGCCGTGAAAAATGTGGCCAAAGCCAGAATTTTAACCCACATAATATGAAAGTTAAGTGGCAACTCACTTATACCATGAACTAGACCAAAAAAAAATCACAGAGCACATTTCACTCTGTTACACAATCTGTCAAACCACTTGTCCGTGGTCACCTTGGGCTGTGACAACTCCAGGCTCACCTCGGTGAGTCAGATTGAAAGCAAGATTGACACTTCTCTCTCTGAATATGTTTTGAAGTCGGAGTGTGAAGTTATATTCATCCTGGGAGTCTTCAGCTACTTGCCAAGTGCACCAGGTATTATGTTCACAAACTCTCGTTTCCTGGGAAAATCTTAAACAAACAAGAAAACATGCAAATAATTACAGGAGCTCCCTGTGTCAACGCAGATGTAGCTTTGACACACTTGAGGCACCCCGAGTGGCTGTCAAGCCGTATCCCACACAGGAGCATTCAGTCACCACCACTATCACCGTAGAGCAGTAGCAAAACATACTGTTTTGAGACATTTGATTGATGTGGTTAGCTAGGCAAATAGTGAATATGTTTATGGCAGTTATGCCAATAATGACTCCTTCCACTGAGTGGTGAGAACGCCCTCCAAATTAACATTAACTATTCTTCTTCTTCTTCTTTTTTATCATCATGACGTTGACTATTCTTAAAGAAGGCGCCTGCCTGGTGATGTGGTGGGTTATGACTTGGGCTGCCAACCACAGGCCAGCAGTTCAAAACCATCAGATGCTCTTTAGAGAAAGATGAGGCTTTCTACTCCCGAAAGGGTTCCAATCTCAGAAACCCACAGGGGTAAGTCTAGTCTGCTCTCCAGAGTCACTGTGAGTCACCATTGACTCGATGGCAATGAGAATCTCGGGAAAAAATTCTTAATGTATCAAAAATTAAGTAGCCCCAAATCCTCAGGGGCAATCTATCACATCTTGCTTCCCCGCTAGCTACCTTTCGATCACGTAAGGCTACATTTTCCTTGAACAAATGTCAGGATTGTACACTTGTGCTAAATGTGCATGTTTTCCACACCATCAAAATCCAGCTTTTATTACAATGTCACAAAAACCTTAAACCATGTAGGTTTAAACCTGTCAATGACATAACCAGGGCTAACTTACGATTCATATAAAGCATAGCTTTCGGGAGGTTGCACTCTCTTTGAGGGGTGTAGGTTCACAGGAGCCGTCACAGCCACGGGATCCCAAGTACAGTTCAAGGTCTTCAAGTCCTGGGTTTCACAAGAAAAGTTCTTGGGGTCTTCCAGAATTTCTGTCCATTTAGAGAAAAAGAAAAAAGGAAAGAAAACAAGACAAAAGACAGACCTGGTTAAGTCTGGTTATTCAAAGAAAAATCGAGGGCCTGAGCTCTCTCACTCCCAATACCTGCGTCTTTGCAGCTGTCACCAAGGAAAGGTGAGGTCCTACTGGGTTAGCTGTCAGGTTGCCGTCTAGTCAGTTAGACTCGTAGTAAACAGAACAATGCCCCTTATGAACCAGCACAGGGAGGGAGAAGGCACAAAACCTGTCCTACTCCGCAGGGGAAAAGGCAGTCTCCAGACAAAGGCCAGGAGGCCACCGGGTGCACACAGTCCTGGGAAAAACAAAAATGCTCTCTGTACTGAAAATGCCCCACGAAGGCATTTTGTTTTCTCCACACACAGTAAGAAAGCAATGGCCTCTGTTTGCCGAGCTCTTCCAGCAGGCAGCTCTCATGCAGGGCCAGGCCCTGTCCCCACGGTCCCTCATCAGTCCTGTCAACTAGCATCAGGAAGCTGGCTCCGGGAGGATGGGGAACTTGGCCCCGGTGACACCCCCAAGGGTAACAAGAGAGTTCAACTCCAGGTCTGCAGGGCCACAGTCCTGACTGCCTTTCTGGGGTCTCCTAGTCCGCAGTTCTCTTCAAGTCTCCAATAAATCCACCTGGCCCTGGTAGCATAATGGTAGCATAATGGTTAAACACTCAACTGCTAACCTCAAAGCCAGCAGTTCAAACCCACCTGCTGTTCTGCAGGAAACAAGACCTGGCGCTGTGTTTCTGGAAAGTTTACAGCTGGGGAAACCCTTATGGGGCAGTTCTGCTGTGTCTCATGGAGTCAGGAGGAGTTGGAATCCACGGGCAGCACACACACCGGTACAGAAAAAGGCAGGCTATTTTCCCCAATGCCCAGGTCCTGGCCTGGACGTTCTCCCTTTTCCGGGTGTTGGTTTCTAGGTCTGGGGAGGGAACCTAACACTGAGGAGAATGTGTCGAGGACTCTACTCCCTGACTTATAACAGAGGGAATCTGGAAAGCTAGTATTTCACGGAAGGAAAGCCACTTTTGGTTAAATTAGAGATAAAGTCCAAGTACATTTTCCTGCTTTAAATAGCATTCCCACAGGTTCTCCCCGAACAGCTATGCTGCCTTTATTAAAGTGAGCACATGGTGGATTTTATGCCCCTACAGAAGCAGACCTCCTGCTGCTATCTCTCCCACCGTGTCACCCAACACCCCTCATACCTTCCCCCAATACAGATGTTAGGTTTTCCTCACCTGTGAGCTCAGGGACCCTACTGTAGATTCCACCCATCTTGTGACATATGTATCTACTGGATATGCATGTCTTATGGCTACCTATAAATGTCCCAAGATAGTAAAGACACCCTCTTCTCTCCCTGCCACTGTGACATGTGTCTGACTCCTTCATTTTATCCTCTCTCCTAGCCTGTATGACTTTACTGTCATCTTTGTAGATGATCGCCCTACAGGTGCGCCTACTGGCCCTTCGGATGTTAGAGGCTGCTCTCCTCTGACAGTCCGGAGTGGTCGGTCAGGACAAGGAGACGGCTGGGAGGCCTGGCCCGGGTGCTGGAGGACTCAGAAAGCGAAAGAGAAAGAAGGCCGTGGAGGGGGAATGCTTGCTGGTCTTCTGGGGAAAGTAACGCGAGCATACGGGCACATATAGGAGCGGGCGAGCCGCCCACGACTGCAGACTCACTGGACACATAGATCACGAGGCCGCCTTTTAGCTCATTGGTCGACTTCTGTCGACAGTGCATGTTCGTCCCAGTTGGTCTCAGGAAGGAGACATTTCTCAAGGTGAACACGGTCACATGTGGCGTCAGAGCTTCTTCTTCATGGATCTCCTCCGTTTCCAAAAAGCAGGCGATCTCGCTCCCGTGACTTCTGGAAACGTAACAAACAGTCATGTTGGAGCCTGCTTCCACCAGGTTGTCTTTGGGGAAAAGAGAGAAGGTTTGCCCAGGACTCAGAGGCTTGAGCACTGCAAGACATGTCAAAAGAAAGGAAAAGAAGGACAGCTGTTAACATCCCGATCCCAATCCGCCCGCCACCTCCCCACCCCCCCTCCCTCACCCCTCCCCACCCCCTGGCACACACTGCACTCGCAACATCCACAGGTAACAGAAGCTTTTTTCTCCCTTCCCGAGAAAACAGAAGTTCCAAGGTCTACACCAAACCCATGCACTTCCCGAGAAAACAGAAGTTCCAAGGTCTACACCAAACTAGGGCAAGACAAAGCAAAACAAGACAACCTCCTTTCTGCCGTCACTCTGATGGCGACACGATCCACCCCCGCCACGGCTCCCACAGTTGTTGGGTGCTGTCAAGACTTTCTGATTGATGGTGATGCTAAGGAGAGAGTAGCACTGGCCTATCGGGGTTCCTAGGCTGTGATCTTTACAGAAGCAGAATGACATGCCATTCCTGGTTATGATATCCTGGCTAAGGTTAGAGTAAAAAGAGTGCTGGTGGGTTATGCACTGAGCTACTAGTCACAAGGTCAGTGGTTCAAACCAGATGCTCTGAAGGAGAAAGACGGGGCTTTCTGCTCCTGATCAGAGCACACAGGAGCAAATGAAGGGGGAGGAAAAGAGAGTGGAGCACATCCTGGCCCACCAAGCTCTGAGGATGATATTCCTGCTCAGAGCAGCCAATGCACAGAGAGGACCATAGGGGCGGCCTGTCTGCGAGACATGAAATTCCTCACTGACTCATTGCACTATGGGGGATAACACTGGACACAGTACAGGAATTGTGCCCTATCTGACCCCAACACACTGAGGCGAAACACTAAAGGCATGCAACAAAATAGCAAGGGGAGTAGAGCAAGGAAGTCCCTAGGAAATACCAAAAATAGACATTGGGGCCAGGGTGTGGCACCATCAGACTCAACAAGAAAGCACTCCTGAAGGTCAACAAACAGACCATGAGCTATTTATATGCTTTTCCTTTTTTGTCATTGTTTTGTTTTCTTTTGTTGCTTTGTTTGGTTCTGTCTTGGTTTTGTGCATATTATTATTATCTCTGCAGGTCTATCTAGATAAGATAGGCGGGATAAACAATCTGGAGGAGAAAACAATGGGACCCAGGGTTCGTGGGGAGGGGTGGCGGTGGACATGGGAGAGAGGGAGGGGCGGGGAAAGGAAGTGGGCGTTAACAAACCCAGGGACAAGGGAACAACAAGTGATCTAAAGTTGATGGCCAGGAGGGTGTATGAGGGCTGGTAGAGGTTGGGGGGTGGGGTAGGCAATGTAACCCAGAGGAATTACTGAAACCCAAATGCAGACTGAGCATGATAGTGGGACAAGAGGAAAGTCAAAAGAAATACGGGAAAGAACTAGGAGGCAAAGGGCTAACTAAATACAGGCATGTACATATGTAAATATGTATGACAATGGGAAAATAGAGCTATGTACATATATTTATAGGTTTAGTAATAAGGTAGCAGATAGACATTGGGCCTCTACTCAAGTACTCCCTCAATTCAAGAACACTGTGTTCTATTAACCTGGCATTCTATGATACTCATCTTCCAATTACGCGATTGCTGAAGACAAAGCGGGTGCATAAACAAATGTGGTGAAGAAAGCTGATGGTGCCCGGCTATCAAAAGATATGGCATGTGGGGTCTTAAAGGCTTGAAGATGAACAAGTGGCCATCTAGCTCAGAAGCAACAAAGCCCACATGGAAGAAGCACACCAGCCTGTGTGATCATGAGTTGTTGAAGGGATCAGGGATCAGGCACCAAAGACCCAGAACAAAAAGTCTTATCGTTGTGAATGAGAGGGAGTACAAAGTAGAGACCGAAAGCCCATTTGTCGGCAACTGAACATCCCCTTACAGAAGGGTCATGGGGAGGAGGGTATAGTATAGCACCAATGAAACATACAGCTTTCCTCTAGTTCTTTAATGCTTCCCCCCTCCCCACTATCATAACCCCAATTCTACCATACAAATCTGCCTAGACCAGAGCATGTGCACAGGTGCAGATCAGAGTTGGAAGTGCAGGGAATCCAGGACAGATAAACCCCTCAGGACTAATATTGAGAGTAGCCACACCAGGAGGGGAAGGGGAAGGTGGGGGGGAGATAGGGAGAACCGATCACAATAATCTACATATAATCCCCTCCCAGGGGGATGGACAACAGAAAAGTGAAGGGAGACATCAGTCAGTGTAAGACATGAAAAAATAATAATTTATAAATTATCAAGGGTTCATGAGGAAGGGAGGGGAGGGGAGGGAGGGGAAATGAGAACCTGATACCAAGGGCTCAAGTAGAAAGAAAATGCTTTGAAAATTATGATGGCAACAAACGTACAAATGTGCTTGACACAATGGACGGATGTATGGATTGTGGTAAGAGTTCTATGAGCCCCCAATAAAATGATTTTTAAAAATGAATCACAGCCTCGAAAACCCCATCAGGGCAGTTCTTGTCTGTCTTCCAGAGCTGCGATGAGTTGAAACAGACTTGAAGGCACGTATTTTCTTTCCCTCAAAGACAGTTAGAGGAAGTAGCCTTAACCACAGTTGCTCAGTGGTTAAGCAATCGGCCACTAACTACAAGGTGGGTGGTTTGCACCCAGCAGACGCTCTGCTGGCGGAGGGTGATGCAGTGTACTTCCATTAAGAAGATTGTTTTGAGAACCTGAGGAGGCGGTTCTACTTCCTCCTACAGGGTCGCCAGTTTGGAATCAACTGGAAAGCAATGGCTTGTGTTTAGGGTTGTTATAAAACCAGTAGCAGCTCTCTGCTGAGGCCCGGCCGTGTGGGAAGTTTGATGGTTTCATGGTGCTTAAGACAGTGACCAGGAGCCCAGGTGGCACAGTGGTTACACGTGGGGCTGCTAACGACAAGGTCGGCAGTTTGAAACTAGCAGCCACACCACAGGAGAAAGAAGAGGCTTTCTACAGCTGTAAAGAGGTACAGTCTTGGAAACCCACAGGGGCAGTTCTACCCTGCCCTATCTGGTCCCTATAGTCAGAAATGACTCGGTGGCAGTGAGTTTAAGAAGGCAGTGACTGAAATAGAGGAGTTCTGTTTCCATTGTAATCAACGTAGATCTATTATAATTACCCAACAGACCAGTAGATTATTCAAGGGTTAATGTGTTTTACATTTTAATTCATAAACACACATTACTGAGTAACAAAGGGTTGGTTCTATTGGCACAGGCCCCTATCTTAACTTAATTGGGGACCCAGGGTGCAAACAGCTGATAAGTTTGGCTACTAACTACAAGTTTAGAGGTTCAAATCTTCCCAAAGGCAACATAGTAAATAGGCTTGAAGATCTATTTTCAGATAAGTCAAGTCACTGAAAACCCAATGGAACACAGGTCTACTCTAGCATACATGAAGTCGCCATCAGCCAGGACTGGATCTGACTCAACGTCAGCTTACTAACTAGAGAGAAGGTAGAGATTTGGCCAGAGTCCGTGCAATTTCCTGGGACTACATTTCCCAGAAGCCTTTGCTGCCTGCAGCAAAGTTAATCAACAATGTTTTGCTTGGGAATATTTAGAAAGCCTGTTCGACAGAGGGCTGCAGAGAAGCGCCCGAGAACCAGTCATGCTGGCTGGCGGAGTGCTTTCCTTCTCTCCTGGGAGACTCACATTAAAATTGTCTTGCTTGAAAAAAACCCATTCTGTGCCTCTCAAAGTAAATCTTTTGGGAAGGCAAGACCCTGATAACATGACAGCAAAGCCCACTGCACCTTTTAGCCACAGCAAACATCAGTGACCAGAAATCTTTAGAGATCCTCAAAGAGAGTATTGAAAATGCATTCGTTCATCATCTGATGGCTTTTAGAGAGAGATGCTTTCATTTGCCATAGTCCCCATTCTTTCCAGACCGCAGCTGCTATGAGGAGTCGCCAGTCGACTGGGACTCACAGCAACCCCACGTGACCAGGAAGAACTGTCCCACCCAGAGATTCCTACTTGGTGATCTGTCTCAACTCCTCACAGCTGGCTGTGGAGTTGCTGCTGACTCATAGCAACCCTAATCTACTTAGGAGCAACTTCCAGGTGATTCCCTGAGGAGCTGCTGGGGAGGGTGGGATAACCGAGCTTTCAGTTCACAGGTGAGTGCTTAACTCTTGTGCCATCAAGCCTCCTTTCTCACTAGATTAGGGACTGGCCAACATTGGCTCAGAAGCCATGAACCATCTGGTTTTGTAAATAAAGTTTTATTGGAACATATCCATGCTCATTTATTTGCACACCGTCTATGGCTATTCTTATACTACAGCAACAGAGAGAAGGTGTCATGACAGAAACCAGATGGGCTCAAAACCTAAAGAATTTACTATATTGTCTGTGTTAGTCAGGGTTCTCTAGAGAGATAAAACCAAATTGCTAATAATTTAATATATTTATTTATAAAGATAATTAGATATATAACAAGAAATGAACTGTTGAATCGCCAGGCTGGCACAATAAACTATCTCAATTGTCCTTTACAGAAAAAATATCTCCCAACTCCTCCTGCACACATTGTGTGTCGGTCTAATAAGCACATACCTACAGTTCATACTCTGCTTTGTTGACTTAGCATTCGATGAGAAACACACACTGCACACTTAGAAATAGCCACGGAAGGTTCTGCACTTGCATGACTATCTCCACGGGCAGATTTAGAGGGGAAAACCGCAGACATTTACCTCCAAGTGGCAAGTTCCGAGCCCATGTTGGGGTTCCGCAGGCAAATACTGTCTGGATCTACACAGGGCCCCTCACAGGGACGTATGTAGACCTTCAGAGAGTATCAAACATTACAATGCTTCCCTCAACTGAACCGCTTCATATCTTACCCCGTATTTCCTTCCATGAAGTCCACTTGCTCCAGGACCTCAACTCTGGGAACTGGGCATCGTCCACTTGACTCCTGATCCTTACAAAGTGTGTCGCACATTCCAACGGGAGCTCCGATTCCCAGCTCCAGTGCACGGATTCCTTAGACTTCACCGTGGTGATGTAGTTCCCCTAGGAGAAAACAGGAACATCTGGAAACAGCTGGTCCTAGAAAATGCCTAGGATCGTCTGGTTATCAACGCATCAACAGAAGAGACCTTGTATCTCCACCATGCGGCAAGTGCCGTCCATTCTTAATTGGCCCACACCCAGGGAGTCAGCCATAGCCTTTGGCTTTTAGAAAATTGTTTTCAAAACCTGGTCGTGATTGCTAGTTGCTGCCAACCTGACTCTGACACGTGGCAGCCCCAGGTGTGCAAATGCACAAAAGGCTGCCCATCATGATCGCTGGCGAACATGTTCGTGTCCATCATTGTAGCTACTCTGTCTTTTGTGTGTCTTTCAACCTAGGGGACTGATCTTTCAGTGCACAAACAATATTCGGAAGTGATCCCTCGGGATTTCACTCGCTTATCTTTAGAACTAGATCTCCAGGTTTTTCTTCCTTGTCTGGGAAGTCTGGGAACACCATGCGTGACTCTGCTGGCATTTGAAATACTGGCGCCGTTCCTTCCAGCATCACAGCAACATGGAAGCCCCAACAGTAGGGCTCGCTGATGGGTGGGTGGTGACCCAATCCTGCAGTCCCTCCAATTCCCTGGAGGAAGCAATAGTGCTACAGGTCTTTAGGGATGAGATCAGAGACAGAAAGGGTGTGGTTCCTTGCTGAGATGCTCACAGTGCTGGCCACACAGAACTCCAGGCCAAATGACTACAAACTGAGAAATGAATGAGTCATGCTCTCCAAAATTAGCAAGGTCAGTGAGTAGGTTTCCATTTATTTTGAGCCAAGGTTCGCCCAGTCTCAGCAGTTGGCTGTTCTTTACAACATCCTGTGCACCCTGTTGTCCTCTCCCAGAGCTCTGCGTCTATTCCAACTCAGCCGTTGCGTGGACCAGACCCCTCCTTTGAGCTCCTTCTGTCAGAATTGTTAGCTCCCAGAGACATCAACCACTCAGGACTGTCTCGCACTGTTCTCTGGGAAGCTTGATCCAAGTCGGATTGCAATCCAAGATTTTGACACAGCCTTTTATCGTTAGTATAATAATTATTTTAGGATTTGGTTGTGACTAAGGTGAAAGTTTACAGAGCAAATGCAGTTTTCCATTCAGCCTTTTATACACAGTCGTTCTGTGCTACTGGTGAAGAAATCAAAAACTCACTGCCCTGGAGTGCATTCTGATGCAGTGGCCTTACGGGGCAGAGCAGAGCTGCCCCTGTGGGGCTCCGAGGTCGTCACTCTTTACAGGAGTGGAAAGCCTCATCTTTCTCCTGAGAGCAGCTGGTGGTTCCGAACTGCTGACTGTCTGGTTAACAGCCCCATGAGTAACCTACTATGCCAGCTGCACTTGAAATCCGCACTATGTCTCAGGGCGCTCCCCATTTCCGCCTGCGTTTCCTGTTTCCACCCACTCGGTTTTCCTGCCCCTTTGGGTCTCGTATAGATGCAGGTTCCTCCCAGTGGTTACTCTTCCTTGGGTCTTTCATGTACAGCCTTCTGCCGCAATCAAAGGCATTGTCTTTCATCCCTTCATTCCACAGCCTGCATTGGTTCCTTTACACTTGACCCCGTCATTCAAGATCATTGACAATGTGACTCCAACCTCTCTCCCAGAGCTCCCTCTGAACTCTCCATCATCGGAATCATCTCTCTGGCAACAGTGGTCTGCCCCACACTTCTGGAAGATTATTTATGTTTTCATGCCTTGGGGTTTGTTCAGACAGGGCCCCCAATTTAGCATCCCTTTGACCACCTCTGCATGGGGAATGAATCCATCCTTCAAGATTAGGTCAGACTCCATCTCCTTCCTGCAACCTTTCTTGCTCTTTCCCCTGAATTCTCTGAATTTGCACCTCTCCGGAGGCCTCTAGCAGAGTGTTCCTCATTGCTGTTCACTGTCTTCTAACCTGTGGCTCGGCCACCTGAGAACCCCGTGGGCAACTGGTGGAAAGATGGCCCGCTCTGTGCCATCTGGTCAGTCATGGGTTCACTGGGGGCATTGTTGTGGCCACTGTGGATTCTGAGGACCTTCCAGTGTGGGCACGCATCTTTAACCCACTATGAAACAATGTTTGATTAGGACCCGTGCGATTTTCTTGGGCTAATTTTTGCACCACCATTTGGCTTTCAGTTGTACTGTGGGGGCTTGTGTGTAGCGATAATGCTAGAAGCTACGTCCCTAGGATTTCAAATACCAGCAGGGTCGCCCAGGGTGAATAGGTTTGGGCAGAGTTTCCAAAGAACTAGGCTGTCCACTTTTGGAGGAATTCGCCACTGAAATCTTATGGCTAGCAGCAGACCACTGTCAGATACTGAAAACCTCAGAACAGCCCAGAACACTGTCAGAGACGGTGCTAGAAGGTAAGGCTCTCAGGACAGAAAGCACTCACAAGGTGCCTGAGACAATCAACCAACGTGTTGTAGATAAAGAAAAGCTTTGCGGACCTTTATTTGCTGATGGGGCACTACTTAATATGAGAAGAAATTGCATTAAACATCAATGACTAATTGGAATTTGGAATGCACAAGGTATAGATAGAGAAAATTGTGTGTAAAAAATTAAATAGAGTGCATAAAGATCAATATACTAGGCATTAGTGAGCTAAAATGGACGGGTACTAGTGATTTTGAATGAGAGGGTCATATGGTTTACTTTGCTGGGGATGACAAATTGGACAGGAATGATGTAGAATTCATTGTCCAAAGAGCATTTCAAGATCTATATTGAAGTACAATGCTGTCTGTGATAGGACTATACCTATAGGCACACAAGAAAAGTTCAGTCAATACAACTATTATCCAAATGTATGTACCAACCCCTAAACCAGTCATGGAAATATTAAAGAATACACTATCAACATCTTTAGTATGAAATTTATCAAACATGTAATTAAGCTGCATCGATGACTGGCTATCAGAATGGAAGGAATAGTAGTTGGGAAATATAGTGTGTCTGAGAGGAACAAAGCTGGGGACCATATGACAGAGGATTTCCAGACCAGTGACTTCGTCATCGCAATTGCCTTCCTTCAACAATAGTAAAGGTGTCCGACTATACAAGTGGACTTCTCCAGATAGGATACACAGGAACTTAATCGGCTACACCTAAATTGTTCAGAAGGAAGGACATGCTCAGCCGACAACAAGCTGAAAGAACTGAAGAAACAATTCAAGCCTCAAATTGCAATATTAAAAGATTTTATGGGGAAAACATTAAACCATGCAGGAAGCATCCACAGAAGATGGAAAGAATACACAGTCACTATGTCAAAAATAATTAGTTGATATCCAGCTACTTTAGGAAGTAGCATATGAGCAAGAGCCAGGAGAAGCCGTCTAAACTGCACTGAAGGCATTAGGGAAAAGCAAGGCTCTGGGAACTGATGGAATACCAATGAAAATATTCCAATACGCTGATGAAGCATTGGGAAGTACTTCTAGTCTATGCCAAGAAATTTGGAAGACAGCTACCTGGCTAACTGACTGTAATATATCCATATTTGAAAATTATACAACAATAGCATTGATATCACATGCAAGTAAAGTTTGACTGACGATCAATCCATAACAGTTGCAGCAGTAGATTGATAGGGAGCTACCAGGAGTTTAGGTTGGATTCACCTGGAGACATGATGAAAGAAGGGGTATCATTGCTGACAGAAGGATCTTGGCCCATTCTTGTGTTTTATTGATTATACAAAGCCATTACTATGTGGATCATAACAAATTATTGATAGTCTTGAGAAGAATAAGAATTCTAGGACACTTCATTGTGCTCATGTGGAACCTGTACATGGATCAAGGGTAGTCATTCAAAGAGAACAAGTGAATACTGTATGGTTTAAAATCATGAAAGATGTGTGTCAGGATTGTATCATTTTCCCCATACTTATTAAATCTGTATGCTGAGCAAATAATCAGAGAAGCTGAACAATATGAAGGTGAACTTGGAGTACACTAACAGAATTGGAGTACACTAACAACCAGTGATATACACATGAACCAACCTTACTTGCTGAAAGTGAAGAAAACTTTAAAGCACTTGCTAACAAAGATCAAGGATTGCAGCCTTCAGTATGAATTGCAACTCAAGGTAAAGAAAACAAAAATCTTCACAACTGGACCAATAGGTAACATTATGATAAACAGAGAAAAGCTTAAAGTTGTTAAGGATTTTGTCTTGCTTGGATCCACAGTCAATGCTCCTGGAAGCAGCAATCAAGATATCAAACAACATATTGTATTGGGTACATCTGCTAAACAAGACCTCTTTGACATGTTGAAAAGCAAGGATGCTACTTTGAGGACTAAGGTGTACCTGACTCAAGCCATGAGATTTTCTATTTGTTTTTTTAAAAAAAAACAGCTTTATAAACCACATATCATACAATTCAATAATTCAATCATATCAAAAAGTGTCTGACAATCATCAACACAATCAATTTTAGATAATTTTCATTATTGTACTCAATGTTATTAGCTTCCTATTCTCCCTCAACATCCCCTGCCATACCCCCAAGAAACCACTAATCCAGTTACTGTTAGGACAGATTCACACATCTGGATTTCACATACTGAAAAACATATATAAACAAAAAAGCTAATGATAACAAAATAAAATAGAGAAAAATCACAATTGAAAAGAAAGCTGAAAACATTAAAAACTAGAACAACTTTAAAATGGGTCGAGTCTAAATACAGGCATGTACATATGTAAATATATATGATGATGGGGAAATAGATCTATGTGCATATATTTATAGGTTTAGTACTAAGGCAGCAGATGAACATTGGGCCTCTACTAAAGTACTCCCTCAACGCAAGAACACTTTGTTCTAATTACCTGGCATTCCATGATGCTCATCTTCCTGACACGATCGCTGAAGACAAAGAGGGTGCATAAGCAAATGTGATGAAGAAAGCTGATGGTGCCCAGCTATCAAAAGATATAGCATCTGGGGTCTTAAAAATTTGAAGATCAACAAGTGGCCATCTAGCTGAGAAGCAACAA